CTCCCTGACATGCCTCTTCCGTGCTTCAGGCTAGCAGTCCCAGGCCGGTGACTTTGTTCTGTATTTGAAGTCCCAGGGGCACGAAGCATTTCCTCACCAGTTCGCCTGGTGGGGAAGTGCAAGGCTGTAGCAGCTGGCAGTGGGTGGCTGAGGGAGGAAGCTGGCGTAGACAGGATGTGATGTTTGCCACAGCAGTGCGCGCTCCCTGCTCCCTCCCCAGTGGCTTTCTTCTAGGGGTGACAATAGAAAACTATGTTCATGACACCTACTTGGGATAAACGGGCAGGTGACAGTGATGTGCTTCAGACGTGCACGGAGCACAGTGTCTGCTCCGCTCTCCCTTGGGTTCAGCTGGCAGTGGCCTGGCCCTGGGTAGGTATAGGAGACCTCGCTTTGGGCCCACCTTTGACCTTTGGGTCCCTGTTGTGGCCTTCTGCCCTTGTTCTGCTATCCCCATAGACACGCCAAGGTTGGCCCTTAGCCAAGTAGATCCAGAGAGAACCTTCGGGCTGTATTTGCACCGTCCCACCCCAGCCATCCCTACTACATCAGCAGTGGGGGTTCCGCTGGCCCCTCTCTGCCGGGCAAGTTCAGGCAGATTCCTACGCAGCGGAGGCCCGGGCAGAGAGGCGTGGTGTGGGGTGTCTTCTCCCTCCTGTCTTCTCTCTCCCCCCCCAAGTCTTTATTTCTAAATCCCACCATACCTAAATGCTGACCGGAGATCCCAACCCTGCTTTCTTTAATGAGCCGTAGTGACCCCATTTCCCGCCACGATCTGGGCCCATCGCTTAGACTGGGACATCTTCACCATAGGTTTACTGTCCATTTACTCTTCACTGGGTGCCGATCACAGCGTTACGTGTTTTGGGGGTTGGAGGCCATACAAATGGACAGCCCTCTAGAGGCTAGACGAGCCTTCACCTGCTTCAGTAGGGTGTGTGTAGGTAAAGGCATCATAGATACGTGTGATAGAAATAAATGTTTCAGGATTTCCTTTCAGCCTCCTGCTTCTTTTATAGTCATGCAGGGCCCGCATGACTCCTCAGTGCACACAATTCTTGTCCCCAGGGATGAGGACGTCAGGGAGTGGGCAGAGATAAACCAAGTGCTCACGCTTGGGTTTCCAGGGAGTTAGAGCTGGACTCAGCGCAGTCGGTAAAGGAGAGAAAGATGAGAGGAGGGCCCTCCAGGTGGCCAGCAGCGTGCGTGCCGGGGATGAGGCAGGATCTGTGGGAAGGCACGTGGGCTATCATACAGCTATGATAGTCAGACAGGGGATCGTATTTGACTCAAGAGTGTGGGGGCAGGGGCGGGTGCAGGGATCTGCCTTTAGAGGCAAGGGCTGTGACCTAAAACGAGGCAGCCGGACTGGGTAGCAGAGAGGCTTGGCTGGGTGGTGAGAAAGGCCACTGCCCTGGTGCGGCCAGGTCACACACAGGTGCCTCGGGCTTCACCTGCTCACTCACCTGCACTTTTGTTCGTTTATTCGTTCAGCAAACAGTAGTGAACAAGATAAAAGGATGGTGTGTCCTTGTATATTCTAGATTAGGGTGTCTCAACAAGGGGTCAGGACACTTTACTGTGTCTTAATTAATTGGGAGGTGTGTGTGTCATAAGTAATTTGCTACTAATAATTAAAGTACTAAAGTTTTGTAATTTATTTCTTAAAAATATTCTGAGCAGTTATCTTTATGCTAATGTCCTTATTCACTTGTGTCCTGACGTGGGGCACAGGGGTAGAGTTGTCACACCTTCGCAGGTGGCAGGTGGCTCAGGACTGGCCCACGGGTGTGCGTGGTGCAGGGAGGCCACCCCTCGCTCAAGCCAGAGGGGAAAAGCAGATTGAAAGCCTCTGGGTTTTTGTTTTTGTTTGAGATTTTATTTATTTGTCTTTAGAGGGGAAGGGAAGGAGAGAGGGAAAGAAATATCAATGTATGGTTGCCTCTCATGTGTCCCCTCCTGGGAGCTGGCCTGCAACCCAGGCACGTGCCCTGACTGGGAATCAAACCACAATCCTTTGGTTTGCAGGCCCGTGCTCAGTCCATTGAACTACACCAGCCAGGGCGAAAGCTTCTGTTTTAAACTGGTGGCTTTCAAACTTTCTTGACCTGTCCCACATGAAGAAACACATTTCTCAGCATGACTTGTGTGTGTATGTGTGTGTGTGTGTGTGTGTGTGTTGTGTCTGTGTGTGTGTGTCTGTGTCTGTGTGGTCTGTCCAGAAAAAGTCCAGCCATTCCTAATATACAATGAGAATGGTTTTCGTGACATTGATGTAACCTGGCAGCCAAGGAGAGTGGACTGGAATGCACATGCGTGAACAATGACGACTTAACTGTACTAGTCAGTGGGGGCGGTAAATGCTAGTGAGTGAGCACGTGTACTGTGTAGCCATGGCATTCAAAATGACTGAGTAAGTCGAACAATGAATCTGCATCAAATTTTGGTTTAAGCTTTAACATTCTTCCATGGAAACTATATTTGGCTGATTCAGAAGGCTGCAGCTGTGGGCAACTGGTGATTGGCAGCTTCATCACAACAATGTACCCGCTCAGGCATCACGTCTTGTGCAGAGTTTTTTTTGTGAAACTTCAAATCTCCCAGGTGACTCAGCCCCCCTACAACCCAGATTTGGTGCCCTGTGACTTCTTTCTGGCTTTTCCCAAAATGAAAATTCCCTTTGAAAGGGAAGAGATTCCAGACCATTGATGAGGTTCAGGAAAATACTACAGGGCAGCTGATGGTGATTGGGAGAACTGTGTGAGGTCCCGAGGTGCCTACTTTGAGGGGGACTGAGGTGTCATTGTCCTGTGTACAGTGCTTCTTGTATCTTGTATCTTCTTTCATACATGTCTCTGTTTTTCTTTTCTTTTTTTTTTAAGATGCTCTTTTTTTTATTTTTTTTAAATTGATTATGCTGTTACAGTTGTTCTATTCCCCCCTTCATTCCCCTCCACCCTGCCCCCCATCCCCACCATTACCCCCCTTTAGTTTATGTCCATGTGTCTCAAGTCCTTTAGGTTCTATATTTCCCATGCTATTCTTGCCCCCCCTTCTATTTTCTATCTACTGTCTATGCTACTTATTTTCTGTACCTTCTCCCCCCATCTCCTCCTCCCACTCCCCTGTTGCTAACCCTCCTTGAGATCTTCATTTCTATATTTCCACTCCTGATCTAGCTGTCCTTTTAGTTTGCTTTCGTTTTAGGTGTGGTTGTTAATAACTGTGAGCTTGTTGTCCTTTCACTGTTCATGTTTCTTTAACTTCTTTTTCTTAGATAAGTCCCTTTAACATTTCATATAATAAGGGCTTGGTGATGATGAACTCCTTGAATTTGGTCTTACCTGAGAAGCACCTTATCTGTCCTTCCATTCTAAATGAAAGTTTTGCTGGATAGAGCAATCTTGGTTGTAGGTCTTTAGATTTCATGACTTGGAATATTTCTTTCCAGCCCCTTCTTGCCTGTAAGGTCTCTTTTGAGAAATCTGCTGACAGTCTGATGGGGACTCCTTTGTAGGTGATGTCCCCTTAGCTCTTTTTGCTGCTTCTAGGATTCTCTCCTTCATTTTAATTTTGGCTAATGTAATTATGATATGCCTTGGTGTGTTTCTTCTTGAGTCCAAATTTTTTGGTACTCTCTGGGCTTCTTGGATTTCTTGGAAGTCTATTTCCTTTGCCAGATTGGGGAAATTTTCTTTTATTATTTGTTCAAATAGTTTTTCCACTGGTGGCTGTGCCTTTCCCCCTTCTGGTACCTGTATAATTCGGATGTTGGAACGTTTAAAGATGTCCTGGAGGTTCCTAAGACTCTCCTCATTTCTTTGAATTCTTGCTCCTTGACTCTTTTCTGTTTGGCCATTATTTGCTTTCTTCTGGTCCACTCCATTGATTTGAGTCCCAGTTTCCTTTTCATCTCTATGGGTTTTCTGTGGAATTCCATTCATTTCCCTTAATTTAGCCTTCATATGTTTCTCTAATTTGTTGCTATAATCAACCAGATCTGTGAGGAAGCTGATGACCAGTGTTTTAAACTGTGCGTCTGAGAGTTTTGCTATTTCTTCGTCGCTTAGATTTATCTCTGGGGCTTTGAGGTCTCCCTGCGACATTTTTGGTCTGTTCTGGCCCTTTAAATGTGAGAAACTGCGCCTTGGACTCCCAGGTCGCTGGGTTTTGACGCTGTATGTGGGGGTGTGGTCAGAGCGGGGAAATGGCGGCGCCCTGTATCGCCGCTGCGGCCGGGCCAACCGCCCACTCCCTCACTCGCGCGCAATTAGGCTACCGCAGTCAACACGCTGCACCGCCTCCCCACTGTCTCCTCTGCAGTCGCTCACCCGGTGGGTTGCTTGGTCGCTCACTAGGTCCAATCCTGGGTTTGGAACCCGTGCGACTGGATTCCGCACCCGGGTCCGACCGAGCCCTCCTTTGCAACTCCTCACCAGACGCCGGTTTCGCCCCTTACCGGTCGGGCTGAAGAATTTGTTGTTAGCGGACTTCCGAAAAGTTCAGTTTTCCGTGTTCTGGTTGTGTTTTCTGATGCTAATATTTAGTTGTCCCTAAACTTGGTTGTGTGAGAAGGCACGGCACATCCACCTATACCTCCATCTTGGCGGAAGTCCTCTGTTTTTCTTATTACATAGCTGGGTACTTTCTGGACAGATCTTTATATGTAAATAAACTATAAAAGAAACAAAAGCTTTATGAAAACTTAATTATTCATATCTCCTACTTGCAATGAATTCTGGTGTCTCCTATCCTATTCTAGTTTAATCTGCTCATTTTCATTTAAAATAAAGATAATCTTGACATACTAAACTGATTGCACGACCTGTGGTTTTGAAAGCGCTGTTTAACCAAACAACCAAGTATGAAGGGGCAGCAGTAGGTCGTGACACCTCTGTGGGTCTTCCTTGTTAGCGATGGTGTCTGGGTGCGCGGTCTAGCTTTTCCCTCCTCTGGGTGGGGGCAGCGTTCAACCCCACTGACTTGGGTTCTCTCCTCAGAGCTCCATGAACCTGCCCCCTGACAAGGCCCGGCTCCTGCGGCAGTACGACAACGAGAAGAAGTGGGATCTGATCTGTGACCAGGTACGGAGCTCGGGGCAGGGCAGGGGGTTGTGTCTGGGGCTGAACAAGGCAGCGGCCCCGGCGGCCCTTGAGGAAGACTGGCCCGGACTCGGCCTCAGTCCGCGCCTACTTTCTGTTCCAAGAGGGCTGCCCTAGCAGAGACCGGGCTTATAGGCTGAGTTACCCTCTAGCTCCTGCAAAGTGCTGTCTTGACTTGGTCCCAATAGGCAGTAGCCAGCAGGAGGTGTGTGTAGGCCTGGGGCGGAGGGCTGTGGAGGAGTGCGTAGTTCCCAGTAGCACCTGTTCTGCCTTTCCTTGGGGCCAGGGCTGTGCCTGGCAGGGCAGTAATCCAAAGGACCACCTCTGTCTCGCTCCGCCCCGTGCCTGAGGAATAGCAGGGTTTTTCTCATTATTTACCGGCCTGAATGCATGAGAAGCCCCAATCCCAGAGTCTCCTGTCCTCAAATCTCAGAACATGAGGCTTGGAAGCTCTCTCCACATGAATAGTGTTTAGAGCCGGAAGAGAATATAGAGATTATCACTTAGCTCGGAACCAAGAACTAACACCTATGGCCTGGCTCTTTACCCCGCAGACATCTGAAGATCAAAGTCACGAGTCTGTGAATTTGGACAGGCCTGTTGGCAGGGCTGAGCGCTGGCTTTTGCTGCTTCACTTCTTGGGGGATGTGGAAGCCCCTGGTGCTGTGTAGGCAGCGTGTTTGCCCAGCGCCTGGCACAGACGAATTTATTATTACTTCTCAAGCACTGAACAAAATCATAACAGCTACCATTTATTGAGTGCTTGTATGAACCAAGCACTTTATATGTACCAAAATGTCCCCATTTAATCCCCACAACAGCCCTGGGAGGAAGGCACTGTTGTATTTCATAGATGAAGAACCGTGGTAGGCGAGGGAGCCAGGGCTCAGGCAGCCGACCCTGTGCTAACCATTGGGCTTCTCTGCTGCCCAAGTCGTGCTGCTTGACCCACGGCAGGACAGTGCCTTGGCCAGCCCAGCCCAGCCCAGGCCCCGCCCTTGCCAGCGAAGGCCCATTTCCTTGTGTTCTGTGTTAAGCAGAGTTTGTGAGCACAGTGAACGCCTGCTTGAGGTTTAGAGAACATCAGCCTTCAGTATTGAGTTTCTTTAATTGATAATCTTTCACTCGTTCCTTTTTTAAAAAATGATTTATTTTTATAGGACCGGAACACCTGGAAGTTTTTCCTGGGGTTCCCCTCAGGCCAGTGAGGGGCTGGTCCACAGTGGGAGGGGCTCGATCCCACGCCCTGTGTGGAAGGAGGCCGGGGGGACTTTGCCGAAAGCGGGCTTTGGCACTGAGGTCGCTTTGTGTTTGGGGGGCCCAGGGCCTGGCAAGGAGTAGGGAGTGTGTTTGCAGCCCTTAACTTTGTTAACTCTCAAAACCAGGCCAAAACTTCTGAGTTCAGAGCCGAGAAAGTCGAACTCCATGAGGCTGGCGGTCCTCCCCTTCCCATCCCCCCATCCATGGGTTGGCCAGGCAGCGAACACTTGCCAATCGGATCTACATTCTGGGTGCCGCTCCGAGCTGCACGATCTCTGCTTCTTTTCAGCAAGCAGCGGGCTCTTAATGGAATTTGGACATAGAAACATGTAGGCTCAGGGAGCGCCCACTGGAGTTGGGGAAGATGGCAGCAGGGGGCAAGCGCCCGAGGATAAGTCAGGAAAGGGCACCCATGGTGTGGGGCTCTGGCAACGTTAGGAGCCAGGCGACACCCGTAGGAGGCGGCCCTGCGGTCGGGAGGAGCGCGCTGCGTCCCCGGCACTCTGTGCACACACACGTGTCTCCCTTGCAGGAACGATTCCAGGTGAAAAACCCTCCCCACACTTATATCCAGAAACTCCAGAGCTTCCTGGACCCCAGTGTAACTCGGAAGGTGAGGTACAGGGCGGGGAGGCCCCGTCCTGCCGCCGTCACAGTCCCGTGGGGTTGGGAGGCAAGCTGTGGGACTCGGGGTTGGTCAGGAGCTTCTGAGCAGTGGGAGCCAGGTTTCTGGGTTCCGAGGCAGTGGGCCCTGAGTGGCTGGCTGATGACAGAGGGAAGGCCTGTGACTGCCTTCTTGTGTCCCTTCCCTTTGCTCTCCTGCCCCTTTCCTTTGTACTGTGAAGTTGGATTGATCAGTGACAGAAAATCCCGTGTTTACAGAAGTTCAGAAGGAGAGTGCAGGAGTCGACCAAAGTGCTGAGGGAGCTGGAGATCTCGCTCCGCACCAACCACATCGGGTGAGTCGGGTTTGGCCCTCAGAGCTTCTTCACCTGGCCACGCGGGTCTGGTGTCCTCTGAGGATGGTCTGCCTGTTTATCCCCCTGTGGCAGTGGGTGGCAGAGTGGCCCCTCGAATCGAATGCCTTTAGTTCCCCCGATCTTCAGACTGTTCCTTTCTGGCTTTTCTCCCCTCGGCTCTGACAGCTGCTGGCTGGATGCTGCTGGCAAGCTTGGGGCCTCTCCTGGGGTCCTCAGCCTGTGGCTTTGAGTGGAAGATATTCCCACAGCAGCTGAGACTGGAGTCTGCCTGTGGCCTGGGGCCGGGCCAGGGACGGCCCAGAGAAGGCTGGGGATGGGGAAGCATGTTGCATTGGTAGCTGGGACCTAGTTGCCAGACTATTTTGTGCCCAGAAGACTGTTTGCTTGATTTTAAGACAATCGTAAAAAGAGCAGAAGTTTCTTGAGGTACCAGGAGAGAAGATTTGAGGCATCGGGGCCAGAAATTGAATGGCTTCTGTGTTGATGGGCCCTGGCACTGCCGACCCATTGATGGGCCCCTGGGGTCTCTGATGCAGACCCAGCACTTGCTGAACAGGCAGAGGGCTGTTGCGTGGGGTACAATGAAAGATGGCAGTGGTCTCAGTTTTAGAAAACCGTAACTAGCCAGGGTATATACTGTGAAAGCGAGAGGGGGTGGAGGGGAGAGAGAGAGCACAAAGGACAATGAGGGACATCTGATAGACAGCAGCAGGCAGGACTACAGCTCTGACCGGGGGGGCTGGCACAAGTGTTGAGAACTTATAAGAGTGACAAATCTAGCTGGGGGTGAGGGTGGGGGTCCCTGGGCTGGTGCCAGCCCCAGGGTCCTGGGCTTCCTGAGAGAAGGGCCAAATGATATCATCGGTCTCCCCCTCCTGACCCAGGCAGCTGCCTACTTGTCCACGCCTCGGCTCAGCCAGCCCAGGGCCCTTGGTAGAGGCTACCTGGACGTGGCCAGCTGCTGCAGCAGCTGCGGAGGAAATGGCACAGGAGAGAACAGGAAAGGGACAGTTCCTGGCCTCGGTAGCTGTGCTCGGTGGCCAGATTTGGCTTTCATACCTCATCTGTGAACCAGATACTGAAAGCTGACCCATGGGGAATCTGCAACGAAGCCTCCATCTTTATTCAGTGACTTCTCAGAGAACCTCAGAGAAGGAAAACTGGCAGAGCCGCCTCAGCTGCCCTGCACGTGAGGCCACGAGTGAAATAGACGGCAGCTTGGAGCTCCAGCCCCAGCTCCTCCATGGGGCCTTTCCCTCCCTCCTGCTGTCCCTCCCTCTCAGGGCCTCCCGTCTTCCTTATTCAGTCTCGCTGTGTGATGATGGGGGTCTGCCTTTCTCCAGAGGACCACGGAGCAGTGTGCAACAGCCTTTCTCCCCTCCCCTCCCACCTGGTGCCTGCCCCTCTGGCCACTGGCCAGGAAGTGGGGCCGGGGCGGCATGGTGCCCAGGCCTGGGGCCTCTTGGCGGTTGCCACACGAGTAAGAGGTCTGGACCTGGGTTTGGTCCCCAGGGAACAGCTTAGTGTCTGGCACTTGAGGGGCTCCGGTCATCTGGACTGGGGCTTCTCCTGGTAGAGTCATGCAGGGGTGCCAGAATCCTTCCAGGATTTCTGGGGAGACTTTGAAAGGCTGTCTGGCTTCAGTGTGGGTGCTTCTGGGCGATGGGAGCCCAGGGAGAGGAAGGGAGAGAAGGATCCTGCGTTGGCCACAGCCTGATGGGCCCAGGACCTGTGGGAGCTGGGTGGGCAGCGGCAGCTCAGTGGGAACTCACACCCTGGAGTGGGGTGAGCTGGGAAGTGGGATTCCAGCGCCTCTGCAGCTCCTCCTCTCCCTGCTTTGTATTGGTTTCTCAGCCTTGCCTAAGTGCCCTTTAACCTCTCCTCAAAGTGTCAAGATCCCGAAAATAGCAGTGTAGACTCAGACAGGAAATGAGAAGGGGGTGGGGAGCTGGAGAGCAGACAGACAGGAAACGGGAGGCCCGTCAGCCCCCAGAGAGGAAGCTAACTTCAGGCAGCTCCGGTGTCAGTCAGCCTCAGCCAGAGCCCGCTGCCAGATCTCAGCTGGGCTCGGTGCTCCAGCCCAGCCTCTCTGGAGCTTAGGGTGTGGCTGGCAAACAGGGCGCTGGTTTCCAGCTGTAGGGGGGAAGCGTCCCTGCAGGGCTGTTGGGCACAGGTGACCGTTAAAGACCTCAAGACATTCTGCCATTCCCTTGGCTGCAGGACAGCCAGGGTTGCATTTTGACAGCGTCATGTCCCTCTGCCCTGGACGGAACCTGTCCTATAACGGTCTCCTAGGGCACACTCTTCACTGCCCTTTCAGGGATGTCGGAGCCCCAAGGGCCTGAGGACAGGGCGTTGGAGCTGCCCTGGTGTTCCGCTGTCTCTGGGTGGCTTGCTGTCCACCCTCCCACCCGGCCGGCTGTAGGGGCCCAGCTCTTCAGTCTGGCTGAGTTGACGGTCAAGGCCATTCCGGAGTTACCGAGTTTCTGACTCTTCCCCCATCCTTTTCCTGTTCTGCCAAACACAGAATTCCCACAGATCCCTCTTTGCTCACTACTTCCTAAAATACCTTTCCTTGAACTTGGTGCAGAGCCCCTAGGCTCATTAGTATGCCTCCGTTTCAGTCTCTCTCTGACCCTTCCCACCGGTCTTTTGACTGAGACGGGTCCAGTTGGGGACCTGCTGGTCTCTATCAGCCCTGCACAGGGGCCGCGGAAGATGCTCTGGATAATCCCCCAGTTCTAAGAAATGTCACTGGAAGACAGTGCACCCAGCCTCGTGCTGGACTCTAGGGGCAGAGAAGGGGACTGAGCTGGGGCCCTGGCTCAGAAGGGGCCTCCCGAAGCTCATTTAGATGGTGTGGTATTGGAAAGCCTGGGCCTTGTCCCCTTCCTGGCTTCCTGGCCTAGGGGAGGTCCCGGCCGCTGACATGGCCAAGGGTGGGTCTGCCGTGGGTTTTGATCTTCAGAATATTCCTGGCCTGGTGCTCGGTTTCGGGGAATCCCGGAGGGTATTGCTGGACCAGAGTTCCCTCTCCCTCCTCCCCCTCCCCCCACATCAGCAGAGCCCTCCACTATGTTTTCTCTATTCACAGGTGGGTGCGGGAGTTTCTGAACGATGAGAACAAAGGCCTGGATGTGCTGGTGGATTACCTGTCCTTTGCCCAATGTTCCGTCATGTGAGTACCACCCGGGGACGGGGGTGGGGGACCAGTGAGGGGGACAGAGGACACAGTCCCATTCTGATTTGAGGGGCAAGGTGAGATTGCAATAGGGAAAGTGGGACCGGGGAATTCCAGGCCAGCAGGGAGGAGCTGAGAGGCAGCCGAGTGACGAATGCGAGGCGGCTGGAGCAGAAGGTGCACTTGGGGGGCAGGAGGAGAGGGATGCAGGGAGGGAGCTCAGAATCGGAACCTGGGGGGTCCAGACTGCAGGCTGTGGGCAGTCCAGGGGGCGTCCTAGCCTCCGGGAGAGACGCCCCGGTGAGGTGGGAAGCTTCCTTGAGAAGCTCCTTTGGGTCTCCAGTTCTGCAAGGGTCACTCCAGGTTACTCCAGGAGCAGTGAGCCTGACTTTCGGCCCAGACTGAACATGAAGCATCAGGAGCCTTTTTCAAGCAGGTTGGGAGCTTGAGGGCAGTGGAAGTGAATTGACTCAGACGAGACGGTGGGGGGGGGGGGGGGGCAGTGGAAGGAACGAGGGGCTTTCAGGTCAGACAGAGCTGGGTGTGGGTCTCTGTCATTTACCGTCTGTCTGACCTCAGGCAATCTGTCTGTCCTCTTATATCAGAGGGGACCCACAGTCCAGTATTCTAAGGACTAGATGATAATGTATGTGAAGCACTTTGCAGTATTTGGAACATAAGTCTGTGCTCTGGCAGCCACTTTATCGTTCACTGTATATTCAAGGTGGTGTTCCTTACCGTAATTACCCAAATATGTGGGGCGAAGGCTTACAGTGATCGTCTACCAGAGGGCCAGCACATTCAGACTCCCACTCCAGCCTTCGCCCCAGGGTGCCCAGCCCGCCCACGCCGCCTGTGACTTTCCCTGGTTTTAGGCCTGAAAGTGCCACATCCTGGGGACTTCCTCAGCCCGGGACTCAGCCCGGGACCCAGCCTCCACTTTCCCTTTTCTTGCCACTGCCCTTGCCCCCTGGCTGCTGTCCTTGTCAAGCAGGCCTTCAGTCTCCTGTCCTTAGGTTTTGAACTAATGCCCCTCCTAGGTTTGGCCTCTGTCACCTTTTCCAGGTCATTCCATGTTACGACCAGGGGTGGCCCACACCGCATTCCTGTCCCTGCAGAAGTCCTGCCTCACAATCCTCCTGTCCCTTTAAAAATCACCTTTTTTATAGAAAGAAATGAAAAACATTTTCTGAAGTCTTTTTTTTTAAATTCAGAGCTTCTAAAGTAAAAAGATGTAGATCACTTTCCCAAATAAACCTATCTTGTTTGAAAAGCAAACAAATTCCAGCTGCTCTAAACTGAAATACACCAGGACTTCAGGAGTGTCGTGTCCACGGCAGTGCCTTTGACTCTGTTTTCAAATGACAGGTTTTGGGCAGGCGTCGGGCGGGGTAGAGGAGGGAGTGTGTGTCCGTGAACGGTGAGAGGACACGGCAGAGCCAAACGGCGTGTGCGTGAGGGCGTGTTCTGTGAACTGCTAGTGTCGGTGTAGGGAACACTGTTAGTGAGGGGGAGAAGCCACTGGAAAGCTGCCTCCCTGTGAGCGAGCCCCCGGCTGTGAGCCCCCTAAATGTCTCCTGAGCTGCGGGACTGAGCCCGCTCCTGCCTCCTTTGGGTTGCTTCCTACTTCAGAAAGCCTCTGCCTCTGTGTCTTTGCCCCCAGGGCGTGCGTGCGGAGCAGAAGGCTCTCTGGGGGCAGAGCTGGAGGAGGTGCGAGCTCAGTCCTTAGCCACCTGCAGGGGGAAAGGATAGAAAAGAGGAGCAGGCTGGCTTCTCAGAGTGCACATACCCCACTGTGAGGATAGGTAAGGGAGAAGGCTCCGTGGCTTTGTGATCTCGGACTGTCCTCCTCCCCCTGGCCGCATTCCCCAGCTGCTGAAACATCTGGTGGCAGAAGCAGGAAGTGACAAACAGAAACCATCCCAGCTCCTGTAGGGACAGACTAAGGACACCTGTCCCCATCCTGGGTGGTTCCTTCCCCCAGGGAAGCTCAGGCCCAGGGAACCTCTACTCCAGAGCACCCGGTCATGCAAAGCGGTGATGGTATAGGACCGTGATCTCCTCCTGACTGTGGAAGGCTCCCTCTCTGGGCCTGCCCGGACCCCTACATTTTCCCATTCTGCCCTCGGATTCCAGCCCAGGGCCAGCCAGGTTCCCTCAGGGCACTCACGGGCTCCTTGGGCCGCTGCCATTTCCCAAGTAGCAACACCTGCAGCTGGCGTGTTCTCCAGGGGGCAGACTCTGCGTGCAGAGCCGCAGCTTCTGTGAGATGTCCCCTCTGGGCCCCGAGAGTGCGGAAAGAGTCCAGTTCCCCATGTCCCTGTGGGCCCACGGGGATGTCACTCCTCGAGTTGCCTGGCCTGTGGGCAGCGACTGGCCGCCTCAGCAGTCCTGTTCCCTCAGACACGCTGCTGGCGCTTCCTGCGCCGCTCTGCCCTTCACCCGTGCGGTCGCCTCCCCCGGCCAGGGCTGGGCCTCTGTTGCCCAGCCCCACTTTCTCCTCTGACTGCCCTTGCTTGTTGTTGCCCTAGAAGTCTACAGAGCAGGGTGGGCTTGCTGGGGTCTTGGCACTGAACTTCTCCTGTGTCTGCGCATGTGTGTCCCTCCCTGCTCCAGGTTTGACTTTGAGGGTCTGGAGAGTGGTGACGATGGTGCATTTGACAAGCTCCGGTCCTGGAGCAGGTCCATCGAGGACCTGCAGCCACCCAGCGCCCTGTCAGCCCCCTTCACCAACAGCCTCGCTCGCTCTGCGCGCCAGTCTGTGCTCCGGTATGTGTGCTCTCGCTCTGCCCGCCTGCCCCCCGCCCCCGTCCAGGTCCTGGGGACCAGCGGTGAGTGCTCACGCTCCTCCCTCCACTCTTGCTTCCAGGCTCAGCTCTCTTGCCTTCTGCCTGCCAGTCTGTCTCTGGTCTGTCCTCTCTGTCTCCTTGACTCTGCCCAGCGGTCTGTCCTGGGTAAGTACATCGCCCTCAGCTGTGCCCACCCCACCTGGGGTTCCAGCTCTCCCCCTCCACACCCCATCTCTGGGGGCCCCTCCATTCCTCACTCTCGCTCTGCCATTCCTCCCAGTCTCTCAAGCAGGGCTTGTCCTTGCGCAGCTCCCGCGGCGTCACCAGGGGATCCAGCTCTGCCCTCCCGTTTGCTTCCCTCTGGCTCTGCACTCTGCCCCGTCAGGTGCCCGGAGAGCAGCTCCCACCGACCTGCCCGCTGCCGGCCTTCCCTTCACAGCTGCCTTTAGGCCTTTTCTCTCCAAGGCTGCAAGGTGTTCATGTGTCTGCCGTATCCTAGGAGCCGTCCTGCCCGGGGGCAGGTGGATGGACCGCCGAGCCCCCCCCCACCTGGGGCGGCTCTCCTTTGGGCCCTGTGGCCCTCTCCGTGGTCTCTGTGTCGTGTCACACTTTTCTCCTGGTCTCCTTTGGGTTTCGCCCTCTGACACTGCTCATCATTCTAGTCCTGCATAAGCAGACACCATCTGTGCTTCTCTTTCTTCCATCAAACATCACTCGGAGGGGGGTGCAGTCAGATGCAGCCCCTGGTGCTCCTGAAGCCTTTGGGGTCTGTGCTGCCTTTTCTGGGATACAGAAGCGGGACGGGAGCCAAGTGCTCCTGCCCCGGGAGTGTGTGGAAAATGAAGCCACCGGGTGGAGGAAGAGGAGGAAAGGCTCAAACGGATGCTTCCCTGGACCCATCTTGAGGACTAGGAAGGCCTACACGCCTGTTGTTGTGTTTGGGAGGACCTCTGAGCTTAGGATGGTTTGGGCACCAGCTCTAAAGCCGGAATTCTGGGTAGCAACTGACAAACCTGCTCCAGGGGGTGAAACAGCTGAGTGCCCGCCCCTGCCCCCTCTTTCTCTGGGCTGGTGGCTCAAGGTCCTCTTTCCCCCTTTTCTCCTGCCGCTGAGGGGCGGCCTGCTGTCGGGATGATGGTGAGCACTGCTAGACCCTTCACCAGCGGCCCCCTCTCCCCCAGGTATAGCACTCTACCTGGGCGCAGGGCCCTGAAGAACTCCCGCCTGGTGAGCCAGAAGGATGACGTCCACGTCTGCATCCTTTGTCTCAGAGCCATCATGAACTACCAGGTAAGGGGCACACCAGCCCCGCCCTTGGCCTCTGCTGCCTCTGCCCAGCCAGGAGCGCTAGGAGGACACCAGCTTTAGAAGAGGTTTGCTGGTGGGCCTACCGCCAAGGAGTCAAGGATCTGCCTCCCTCCCGCCCATCAAAGACTCTCCTGTTTTTTCCCCCTCACTACAGTACGGGTTCAACCTGGTCATGTCCCACCCCCATGCTGTCAACGAGATTGCACTCAGTCTCAACAACAAGAACCCAAGGTGAGCTGCTTCCCTCCCCTTTCTTCCCCACTCGGCCCAGGGCTCTGGAGATCTGGGCTCCACCGGCCCCTGGCCATGAGGTCCCATGGCCGGGGCAGTGCCCTGGTTCTGCTGGAGCAGAAGCAGTGCTCCTGGCTTCCCTCTGGTCTGCACAGCTTAGTGAGGGAGTGAGCCTGCCTTCTCCAGCCCTCTTTCCCAAACGCAGCCTCGCCCCTCCCCACTGAGGCACCTCCGCGCTCTGAAAGGACTCACCCCTTTGTGCACACGAGTGATGTGGTGGCCGTGGTGGAGGGCCACAGCGTTAATGTTCCTTCTTTGCCCTTTAGGACCAAAGCCCTTGTCTTGGAGCTCCTAGCAGCTGTGTGTTTGGTGCGGGGAGGTCATGAAATCATTCTTGCTGCCTTTGACAATTTCAAGGAGGTCAGTCTCCTGCATTCGTGTGTGTGTGCATGTTTGGCAGGGAGGAGGTGGGAGCAAGGTGGGCAAGCACCCTTTCCTGCAATCTTACGCATCCCAATGATTTTAACATCCCGGCGCTTACCTAAGTAGCCTGCCAACCACCCTCCCCCACTTCCAACAAAACCAGAACTTCAGTCTGACCAGATCATGTGCCAGGAACATTCTCGATTGGCCAGCTAAGGATTTCCTCCGATAGCTGAGGCCTCTAGTCCAGTAGTCCTGGTCTGACTGTGCATCAGAATGCCTGAAGAGCTTGTTCAGCAGACAGACTCCAGGGAGGCCCGGTGTCTGTGCTTTACCAGGCTCCCCGGGTGGTTCTGAGGCAAATCCACTGGTAGAGCCCAAGGCAGATGCCTTTGCAGTGGGAGGAGAAGGCAAACCAGGATCCTCCTGGGCTGGTGGCTGTTATTAGTGAGGGAAAGTGAGCTTGTACTTGGAATTTTCCCAGTTCTGGGCCTGGCTGTAAAACCCCCATCTGCTTGAACATAGGATTCCTCGACATCCAGCTGCAGCTGCTAGTCCCGCCCCTTCCTTCTCCTCTGTAGATGGCTTCCCTAGCATCCATTGTTCAAGCCAGGAAATGGCTCTTCCTCCTCGAAGCCAGAGCTCAGAGGAGTCTTGGGACCCCGGTCAGCACAGGGGCTTTCCTGCACCCTAGCCTCAGTCCTGCACCCCCACTAGGACCTCAGCTCCCACCTCATCAGCGCCTCCAACCTCTCTCCTTGCCCCCTCCTTCCCCCGCTCCTTCCTTGAGTAACTGGGCCACAGTGAACCCCTGTGTTTCTTCTTGGCCCACCCGCCAGAGGCACCTAAAGCTCAAACCAAGGCACAGGCTTTATCAAGCTCCCTCAGCAACTTGGTGGGGGACTGGGGAACCAGGGCAGGTGCTAGGTCCCAGGCTGTCTTCTGTCGTGTCCTGAATAGTCCATGGCATAGAGTGAGCTGTGGTTAAACTTGGTCTGAATCTGCCCCTTGGCCATGGTGTGCCTGGGAGCCAGGGCTCAGGGGCTTGAGCTCTGCCTGGGACAGGTCCTTCCACTGAGAGGTTTGATTGTTCAGGTGTGCAAGGAGATGCACCGCTTTGAGAAGCTGATGGAGTACTTCCGGAATGAGGACAGCAACATCGACTTCATGGTGAGGAACCGGCTGGGCCCGGCGGGTGGCGTGCTCCCTGAGCGCGGGGGCCCAGCTGGCAGCGGGCTTCAATATTCTGTATGGAGCCCAGAATGGTTCTCTCCTCCCAGAGAGAATGGTCCTTATCCATTTGCCCACTCCAGCTGGCATTTAGAATCTGCAAGACAATGTCATTCGGGTGTCCTGAGTCTGCCTTCTTCCCCTTTTTGGTGGCCTTTCCGTCCCTGGTTTGGGTCCTGTCTGAGCTGCTTTCCCTTTCCCAGACGCTTCCTCCAGCGTCTCTACCCTTCAGTCTCAGGTCTTCAGCCAAGTAGGGGTGTCTTAAGAAGTACCTGCTGCCCTGGCTGGTGTGGCTCAGTGGATTGAGTGCAACCCTGAAAACCAAAGGGTTGCTGGTTCGATTCCCTGTCAGGGCACATGCCTGGGTTACAGGCCGGTTCCCCAGTAGGGGGCACGAGAGAAGCAACCACACACTGATGTTTCTCTCCCTCTCTTTCTCTCTCTAAAAATAGATAAATAAAATCTTTTTTTTTTAAGTACCTGTTGATATGCAGAGGAAATCAAAGTAGTAGCTTCATTTACATCTACTTCCCATGTAATTTACCTATCTTAATACACTGAGTATTAAGTTTGATATCTTTAAAGATTTTATTTATTTAATTTTAGAGAGAGGAGAAGAGGAAAGGGAGAGAAACATCTATATGTGGTTACCTCTTGAGTGCCCCCTACTGGGGACCTGTCCTGCAACCCTTTGGTTCACAGCCCACACTCAATCCACTGAACTATACCAGCCAGGGCTTAATTTTGATGTCTTTAAAGTTAGAATTCTCTTTTGCTCCCAGAAAGAGGTAACTTTTTTATTCACTGCTTTTTAATTTATTTTTATTTTTTAAGAGTGGGAAAGAAACATCATTGTGTGGTCGCCTCCCATGTGTCCCCCACTGGGGACCCGGCCTGCAACCCAGGCATGTGCCCTGACTAGGAATTGAACCAGCGACCCTTTGCTTCATAGGCCTGCACTCAATCCACTGAGCCACACCAGCCAGTGCATATTCACTGCTTTTGATTATGCACCTGAGGACGCTGGTTCTGACAGCCCACCACCCCGCCTCTTCGTCTCTCCTGCCCTTCTTGTCTCTGTCTGTCGGGGCGCCTCTTCCGCAGGTGGCCTGCATGCAGTTTATCAACATAGTGGTGCACTCGGTGGAGGATATGAACTTCCGGGTCCACCTGCAGTATGAGTTCACTAAGCTGGGGCTGGAGGAGTTCCTGCAGGTGAGCCGGGCTTGAGTCCTCACAGGGCGACGAGCTCTGGGGCAAAGGGCCAGCTTAGCCATATCATGAAGGGTTTTTCTTTTATGAAAGCCTAGTCGGGGCTGCCCCTGGAACCCCGCCTGTCTTCTCCGGCATGGGACTCAGACCCTCCCGCAGAGGGCACCCCAGGCAGGCCGCTCCACGGGGTGAGAATCTGGTACCCCACAGCAGGGACTCCCTGGGTTCGAGGCTCTAGGAAGTGACCGTGGAGGGCCACGTCTTTCTCGGGAGGCTCCCCAGCTATGACTCCCTCTGCTCTCCCCAGAAGTCGAGGCACACAGAGAGCGAGAAGCTGCAAGTGCAGATCCAGGCGTATCTGGAGAATGTGTTCGACGTGGGGGGGTTGTTGGAAGATGCTGAGACCAAGAACGTGGCCCTGGAGAAGGTGGAGGAACTGGAGGAGCATGTGTCCCATGTAGGTGGTCCTCTTCTGCTGCCAGAGCCACTGTTGTGGGGGCCGGGGATGGGGACATCTGAGTTCCAGGAACCCTGAGCCGACCTACCTACCCCCAGATTGAGCCCAGGGAAGCCTTGGGCACCCCCGGGGCTCTAAGGCATGCTTGGGCCAAGGCACTGGATCACCCAGAAACTGGAACACACACTGACCTCCGAGACTGGGTGTGAGGTGATACCCGGCTTGAGAGAGTCAGGTACCACCATTTGTCTTGTCCTGTCTCATGTGGTCTCAGACCCTGCGTCCACGGAAGCGATGTAGGGAAGCCACCAGGCCACGCTGCCTGTGCGGCCCGGGTCCTGACTGGGGTTCAGGCTGTACCGAGTGCCGAGGCTTTAGGGCCAGCCCTGGATCTGCCCTTTTCATCCTGCAGCTCACAGAGAAGCTTCTGGACCTAGAGAATGAGAACATGATGCGGGTGGCGGAGCTGGAGAAGCAGCTGCTGCAGCGGGATAAGGAGCTAGAGAGTATCAAGGTACCAAGTAGTCAGGGGAGGCAGGCCCCGGCCCCTGGCTGCTGCTGGCGCCAGGGCCTGGGGATCATTGTTTTTCTTACCTGAGTCACGTCAAGTCATTGAAAATGTAGATCTTGATTCATGACCTTGAGACACTCAGATGAGGATGGGCTGATGATTTCACCCCATTTTTTGGTGGGAGGGAAGCCAGAGTGGGCCAGACATGCACAGAAGAGGTGGGAGCGTACATGGCATCCGCGGGCTCCTGCGGGGTCCAGGGCTGTTCCTGCCAGCCCATCCTGCCACTTTCCCCACCCCCTGCACTGCCGGTGCTGCCCCCACCCCTGCGTCAGGAGCAGGTGCAGAGAAGCCCGGCTGATATTAGGATACCCACCAAGTCTCCTAAACCGGAAGAGCAGGGTCCCCTCATCTTTCAGTGTCTTCTCTGTCCCCTCAGCTAACTTTTTGTTTGTTATAAAATTAATCACGCCCCAGCCTACGTTCCTTCCAGAGGAATACAGTTGTGCTTCATACAGACCTGCTGAGAGCCCTGCTAGGAGTCTGCAGCGCTGCATTGGGAGTACGGAGGCTACACAGATGGCTGAGGCAGGATCTTGTCTGTAGGGGGCGCCCAATTGAGCGAGTACACAGGCCAAGAGAAATGAGAGCAGTGCCCACGCAGAGGGCTGACAGCTGCATAGCAGGCTGGCGGTGGGTCAGGAAGAGTTACACAGGGGCATCTTCTGCCGGGGCTTTGAGGGACCAGTGAGACTAAGGCTGGAGTGGAGAGGAAGGACACGGCAGGATTCTTTGCTCCCTGCCAACTTCCTCTGGTCCCCACCCGGTTTTCTTGGGCTGCTTCTGGGCACCCTCCCAGACACCCTAACTGGGAGACCCCTGGATAGGAAGTGTCACTCAGGGGCAGTGACCGCTGTGCCTTCAGCCCTCTTTTCTGAATGCTGCACCTGCCCACCAGGAGACTTATGAGAACACGAGCCACCAGGTGCACACCCTGCGGCGGCTCATCAAGGAGAAGGAGGAGGCGTTCCAACGTCGATGCCACTTGGAGCCCAATGCCCGGGACTTGGAGTCGGTGGGCAGTGAGGCCCTGGCCCGGGTGGGCTCTGTGGAGCTGAGCACAGGCCTGCCATCCTCCGACCTGGACCTGCTGGCTCCAGCCCCGCCCCCCGAGGAGGCTGTCCCTCTGCCTCCTCCACCCGCTCCTCCCCTGCCCCCTCCACCTCCCCCTTTACCAGGTAAGCAGGACCCTGGGAGCTGGGAGGGGCAGTCTCATTGTGGGGCCAGACCAGAACCCCAGTTGGCAGTGCCTGCCCCAGGGAGAAGCTGGGGACATGGCTGGAAGGATGTGAAGGCAGGTGGGAGAGGGTTGAGGGGGTGGTCTAGAATCTGAGGGAAGCTCAAGTTACCAGGGAAGGATGTCTAAGGGTGGACATGGACCTGTTTTAAGGGTCATAAAGTTGCTGCTCCTGGTTCCTCTGAAGACAGCCACAGGGAGGGCTTAGATCGAAGCCAGAGACAGTGGGTTGGAGACCACCAAGGCCTGCCCCGTGGGAGTTAGGACCCCTGGGAGCCACTGGGGCCAGGAATGCAGGCAGCTTCCTTCCCTGAGAGACTTTAAGGCCAGGCTGGCCGGGCAGAGGGGAGGGGCCTCTGCAGAGCCTCTCGGCCACTGTGCAATTCTCCCCTCAGGCAAGTGTCCCCCAGCCCCGCCTCTGCCCGGTGCTGCTCCCTCTGTGGTGTTGACAGTAGGCCTGTCAGGTGAGTGTCCCCAGGGATCTGGGCAGAGCTAGCAGGACCATGGGAGTGTGTCCTCAGCCCCTGCCTCTCTGACCCTCCTTCCAAATCAGCCATTCGCATCAAGAAACCTATCAAGACCAAGTTCCGGCTGCCAGTCTTCAACTGGACAGCACTGAAACCCAACCAGATCAGTGGCACTGTCTTCAGCGAACTTGATGATGAGAAGATCTTGGAGGTAGCGGGGCCAGGGGCCCTGAGGGGGAAGGTGGAGGCTGGGGACCAGGTTTCCCTCCCGGCCAGGCCCCCTGCCTCGGAAAAGCCCTCCAACTCAGCCAGCCGTGACCCAGAGCTGAGCTGATGCTGCTGGGACTGAGAGGCCACAGCACTTTTCTTCTCCTCAACTCTTGCCAGGACCTGGACCTGGACAAGTTCGAAGAACTGTTTAAGACAAAAGCCCAGGGCCCTGCCCTTGACCTCATCTGCTCTAAGAACAAGACGGCACAGAAGGCTGCCAGCAAGGTGACCCTGTTGGAAGCCAATCGTGCCAAGAACCTGGCCATCACTCTGCGTAAGGCCGGCCGCTCAGCTGAGGAGATCTGCAGAGCTGTCCACACGTGAGGCTCCCACTGACCAGGCCCTGGTCCCCAGCCAGTTGGAAACCCAGTTCTCCACCTCGGACCCCGGCCTTCCCTGGATTCCCAGGCAATGGCAGAACTGTCTCACACCCCTTAGTCATCCACTGGGTTGACCAGAACTTACTGCATCCGTGCTGTGTGCCAGGCACTGTGTGAGATGCTGGGGATTTGTCCCAGACCTGCACCCAATGGACTCCCAGTCTGGCAGAAACAGTCTGGGAACACTGGGTGATAACCATGAAAGTGATGGAGATACAGGCAGCTTTGGGAGAACAAGGATGGCTAGGTAGCTAAGTGGGTCATCAGGGAAGACTTCCCAGAGGAGGTGATGATGTCTTACCTGCGACCTGAAGGAAGTATATGAAATCCAGTTCACGTCCTGGAGAGAGAAGCATGGTGCCTTTGTGAAAGGAGGGAAGTAGGAGAGACAGGGTAGGAAGGCAGGCAGAAGTCCTGGTGGTTGGGCCTCCTAAGCCACGCTCAGTGTTTAAGACTTCTCCCTAAGAGAGAGGGAGGCATGGAAGAGTTCTCAAGCAGGGCATGGAATGTTCCCCTAGGGCGGTCCTCTGCCTCTGGCTCTGTCCTGCTCACAGACCTCATCCTCAGCCCTCCTAGGAGCTGGAGAGTAAAGGAATGATGGATAGTGTGGGCAGATGCCAGACCTGAAGGGCCTCCTCCCTCCTGCACAGGTATGACCTACAGACACTACCTGTGGACTTCGTGGAGTGCCTGATGCGCTTCCTGCCCACGGAGGCCGAAGTGAAGCTGCTGCGGCAATACGAGCGGGAGCGACAGCCCTTGGAGGAGCTGGCGGCTGAGGACCGCTTCATGCTGCTCTTCAGCAAGGTCGAACGGCTGACCCAGCGAATGGCTGGCATGGCCTTCCTGGGCAACTTCCAGGACAACCTGCAGATGCTCACGCCGGTAGGGTCCCCACTCAGTCGTGGTCACCTGCCGCTCCCTCTCCACTGTCCACCTGCTAGTCACCTCCCAGCCCCTCGCTGACTTTGCCCTTTCCTGGCCTGGGGTTGCTCAGCTCTTCGTCTTGCCTTCCAGCAACTCAATGCCATCATTGCAGCCTCTGCCTCTGTCAAGTCCTCACAGAAGCTGAAGCAGATGCTGGAGGTGCGGAGATGTTGTGGATGGGGGTGCTGATGGCTCCCGGGTCCTGGGTGGGACCTGGGCCCATACAGAGAAGAGGAAGGAGCCCTCGGGGCTGGGCCTGACCCCCTCCCACACATCTTTTGGACAGATCATACTTGCACTGGGGAACTACATGAACAGCAGCAAGCGGGGGGCTGTGTACGGCTTCAAGCTCCAGAGCCTGGATCTGGTAAGATGGTGGGGACAGTCGGGGGCCAGGAGCCCTGGGGGACGGCAGCTGTGGAGCCAGCGTGTTAAGTACTCTCCCATTGCTCCTTGTCCCGCCCCCCTTAGCTGCTGGACACCAAGTCCACTGACAGGAAAATGACACTGCTGCATTTTATCGCCTTGACGGTGAAGGAGAAATACCCAGACCTGGCCAACTTCTGGCACGAGCTGCACTTTGTGGAGAAGGCTGCAGCAGGTGAGGGAGGGGCCTGCCCCCTTGTTGGGCTCAGGACAATCCCAGGAAGGTCTGAGGAGGTGGAACACTTGGGTCTCTTTGTTTCTGGATTTTGTTGTCTGTTTTCTGACCACTTCAAAGCTTTCCGCTGGGGCCATGGGAGGGGCCACCCAGAGCCTTCCTGCAGGCGCCAGACCCAGTGAAGCCTCTCTCACCTGGGTGGGTGGGAGCAGGCAGAGGGAGGCCGCAGTGGCTCTCCACCCCTGACTCCTGCAGGCTGGGCCAAGACTGCGTTTCTCTGTGATGTATGGGAAGTGCTTAGAAAGTCCATAAAGCCCCTCAGACGTAAGGGGCTGCTCTTCCCATCCCACTCATGAAAACTGGGCAGGCCAGAGGCAGCTCCATGTTGGAGACCAGCAGTCTCTCTGGCTTGCCTTCCTTTGCTCTTTGGGGTTGTGAATTCCCAGCCTCCATTCACTCTTCTCGCCCCTCTGAGAGCCTGGTGTGTCTCTCCGTGTCTGCCTGGGTGGCTCAGGAAGACAGAGGGCCTGCATGAGCCCATGCTGAGGGGTAGGGCCAGAGTTCGCTGTGGCCCTGGGCTGGGAGGTGGACATGTTGGGCCCCGGGCAGGCCTTAGCCAGGGCTCTGGCAACTGCAGTGTCCCTGGAGAACGTGCTGCTGGATGTGAAGGAGCTGGGCCGGGGCATGGAGCTGATTCGGAGGGAGTGCAGTATCCATGACAACAGCGTCCTTCGGAACTTCCTCAGCACCAATGAGGGCAAACTGGACAAGCTCCAGCGCGATGCCAAGACGGCTGAGGTGAGCACAGAGTGGAGGCTGGCAGGAGCAACCGGGATTAAGGCACTATGTCCCTCTTGGTGGGCGTACTTTGGGTTCTTGGATCAAAGAACTTTTATCAAGTGCTGGCCGGCTGGCTGATGTGGGGAAAGTGGGTATGGAGGCGCGCAGTCAGCTGCCTCTGGGAGCATACCCTAGGGAAAGCGGCAGCCCGGCCCTTTTCCAGCCTTTGGGGTCTGGGTGCTGCTGTGGGCCTCCTGTCCCTGGTGGGGAGCCCAGCTTCACCTCTGCCGGGCTGACGCCTCCTGCCCTGGCTCCCCAGGAGGCCTACAATGCCGTGGTGCGCTACTTCGGTGAGAGTCCCAAGACCACACCTCCTTCCGTATTCTTCCCAGTGTTTGTCCGATTCATTCGTTCTTACAAGGTAAACAGGAGAGAGACTTTTAAAGAAAAAAAAGCTGAGAGAAAACTAATGGATGGAGAGAGGGCTGGGCTTCACGTCTGGGCTTTTCCCTTCTCCTCTGAGCCCTGGGAGGGAGCCATGGAAGCTGGCCACAGGCCTTAGCTGTGAACTGGTGGGCAGGGTGGGGGCCCAGGCCCTTCCTGTCATTGTTTGGGGCAGGAAGTGCCCCTCCAGAGGGTGGCCACTTGGGGTTGCTGGTCCCACTGCCACCCACTCTCCACCCTCAGCGTCAGCCGCTCTCAGCACAACTTGTGTGAGCCTCACAAGCCCCCCCCCCACACACACATACACCATGGTTCTTAGGAAGCAGAACAAGAGAACGAAGCCCGAAAGAAGCAGGAGGAGGTAATGCGGGAGAAGCAGCTGGCTCAGGAAGCCAAGAAACTGGATGCCAAGGTGGGTGGGACCAGAGGAGGAGCCTGAAGGAAATGGGGGATTAGGAGGGGGCGGAGCAAACGAGAGGGGGTGGAAAATGAGCACACAGACCACCCAGAGGGCCTGAGGCTGGCGTCCAAAGGAATGGAGACAGGGCCTTTGGGGTGGGGGATTCCCGGCAGGATAGGGGTGGGCTGCCACGCACAGTTAAGGGCCGTCTCAGACTGCATCCTGGAGCAGGAACCGTCCCCATGGCAGGTTAGTAATGAGTCCCTTCCCTTCAAACGCTTGGCCCTAGACCCCATCCCAGCGGAACAAGTGGCAACAGCAGGAGCTAATTGCAGAATTGAGGCGGCGCCAGGCCAAGGAGCACCGGCCTGTGTATGAGGGGAAAGATGGTACCATTGAGGACATCATCACAGGTGGGGCTCTCTTCTCCCTGGGGCCCGGGTGTTGGGCCCCGCCCCCAAAACCTAGTCATACACTTTGGGTTCTCTACCCACCTCACCCGGTGGAGCCTGACCACAGTGTCTCTCTCCTGGGCCACAGTGCTGAAGAGTGTTCCTTTCACGGCCCGTACTGCCAAGAGAGGCTCACGCTTCTTCTGCGATGCAGCCCACCATGATGAGTCAAACTGTTAGCCCCCAAGGCTGGGGTCCTTGCCAGGTACCAGGCACTGCAGCTGCCCTCTGCATGACTTGGCACCATCCTCTGGCTGCCTCTTGGTGATGGGGACACACACTTCCCTCCCTGCATGCCCCATGCTCTGAGAAGTGTGGCTTATGCCCTGCATGTGCCCTCAGGGAAGTGATATCTCTCCCACTAATGCTGTCTTAGCTTCTACTAAGACCCAGGGGTAGGGACCAGGCCACTGCCTCCAATGGCTGAGCCTGAGGCTCTGTTATTGGGCTTGGGTATCCTCTGTGCTTGTTCCTCTCTTGAGATCCTTCCTCGTGAGAGCACTGGCAGTAGCTGCTGCCCAGGGACTTCAGATGTCCTTGACTCATTTGCCAACATCCAGTCTGCTGGGGGTCTCTTCCCAGTTTCTGGTTCTTGCTGAGCCTACCCTGTTTCTGCCACTGCCCAGTGGCCTCCAGTCACCCCCAGCTGGCCCTCCAAAAACGCAGAGCCCCAGCCATCTCCTCACCTTCCCCTCCAGCGTCTCTGAACTCCTTCCTCATCCCACTCGTGGCTGGCTCTTCTCTGGCCCTGTCTTCGAGATGCTCCTACAGAGTGGGCCTGGCCTGGCCGCTGCCTGGCCTGTTCACAGACCTCTGTCTCCCCCGCAGGCCTCCAGCACCAGCCTATTGTCATTCGCCACCAAGCCAGGATTCTGGCCCCTCCCGGCGTCCACCCTCGGGCTCCAGGCCCCCACTGAGACCCTGTAGGAGGCAGAAGCACTTCAACTCCAAGTCCTACGAGTCCAACCAGTGGACCCGGAGCCCTGGAATCGGCCAAGAGCCCCACAGCGGGCCGTGCTGCTCCCAACCCAGCTCCCACCCCAGCTCCCAAAGCTGCATCTTTTCTGCTGCTACTGTGGGCACTAGGTCTCTTGGGGCCTTGGTTGGCCCAGGTGCCTCCAGTACTGCACTTTGCCCCCAAGGTCTTAAACGTCATTTCCTGAAGGGTTGCCAAGGGTCCGCTCAGGGCCGGAAAAAAAACATTTCCAACTTTAGCCTCCACAGCAGCACCTAGGCCTCTGTTGTTAAAGCTGGAGGGACCAGAGGAAGCAGCCATCCCTTCTCTCTCACAGCCCTGCGGTCAGCTGTGGCCTGCACATGTCCAGGTTTGGGGAGGCCTGGGGCCCCCTCAGCTGTGCCCATGGCAAGAGTGGAGAGAGAGATGCCAGCCTTGCTGCCCTGGGCCCTTTCCATTCCAGGCTGTCCTTGCTGTGGTGGGCAGAGGGGCCCTTTCTGCCCCAGCCCCGGGGCAGCTAGAGGGAGGGAGTGCCAAGAACTTTGCCTCCTTTCTTCAGCTAGGTTTTCTGAGGGGGCAGAAGGCATGGTAGTCTTAGCTGGCTATATTCTCAGTCCCCTGCCTGTTTATTAGCCCCTGGAAAGGGAATACAGGGACCCACTCCTTTTTGTATATGGATCACCTCCCTTCTCTCTTGTATATAAACCCTAGCCCTTCTTTCTCTCAACAAAGGCTTGAAGCACCAGGCCAGACTCTGTCTCCTCTTTCTGAGTGTGGTGGGTCAGGGTGGCCATTTAGCTTGACCCGAGCCATACAGATAGGAAGGAGGCTGGGCAGAGCTGCCATCTGCTTGGGGGAGGTGAGCACAGAAACTTGAGGATGAGAACCAGGGTAGGTGGGCTCAGACCACACAAAGGGAAGCAGGCCTGCCATGAGACACAAGCGCCCTCTGCTGGCCACGGGTGCACCTGCTCAGCCCCCAGCCTACCAATGAAGACAAAGGAGCCACTGGCCATGTTATAAATATTATTTATAAAACAAAACCAAACAAAAACACACATAAACTGGGTCCCAAGGCTGGAGGGAAGGAGTGGTGGAGCCCCAGGACCTGGGCAGGCAGGAGCAGGCACTGATGCTAGAGGATAAGGATGCTGCCCTCTGCCACCCAGGCTGTGTCCACCAGCCTGTCTGTCACTCCCCCTGGAGGCCCCTTCTCTCATTCTATCTACTGGCACCACCCACCCCACGTGGCACACACCACCAATCTCACGTGGGGCCGAGGGCAAGGACTGCACTAGTTGTCCGGGAAATGGGGGGCCCTTCATTACAACAAGCAACCTCAGAAGGAGCTGGCAATGGCGTGTTGGGGGTGGTTACTTGAGGAAAAATGGACACAGACCAGACTACAGAAGGCGTCTGGGGCAGACAGTGAGGGTGACCTGGTAGCCACAGCCTCACACAGACCCAAGGCCGAGCAGCTTGTTGGGTCACTGGTGGTCATCCAGCTGCTGCAGGAGTGTCCGCCGCCGCCTTTCCAGCTCCCCCTCACTCAGCTCACTTTCTGACGTGTCCCAGCCCGTCTGGGGGAGCAAAGGCACAGCTCACCCACAGCCTCCCCTGAGGGCCACGGAGGCCTGGACAGAGCACTGCCTGGGCTGGGGCCAGGCACCTGCCTCTCACCTTCTCCTTCTTGATTCCAAAACCTGGGGAGCGATTAGGGGGCTCTGTCAGCCGGAGCTCCCTGTCCTTGTCCTGTTCTGGTTCTTTCTCATCACTCTCCTTGCCAGCTTTCTCCTCAGGGTCTGTCACACTCTCAGGACTGTTCTGTAAGAGCCCAGAGCCCGCCTCCTCAGTTCCTGTGAAGAACAGCCCGGAGGAGGGTGGAAGAGATCTCACAAAATAGCAGGGCCTCGGGCAGAAGTTCCTTCTCTACGCACCGACTTGTGTCTTCTCTTTTTAGTTTTCTTTTTTGGTTTCTTGGCTTTCCGAAGGCCATGATCTGCAAATAGAACCCCCCCGCCGCTAAGTTCCATGGGAGAAGGGAGGGGTTGTCCTTTCCGCTGCCACAGTCCATCTGTCTGCTCATTCTTCACAGACACCTGCCGAGGATGTCCTGGTCATTCCGGCTTGGAAGCTCCTCCTCTCTGACAGCCCATCTACCTCAGGGGCAGGGGCCCCCCAGGGCCTCCTCTCAGTCTGGGCCAACTTCTCCAGCTCCCAACCGCTTACCTGATCCAAGGAGAAGGCGGGAGGATGGGGAGCCCCGTCCTCCAAGGACAGCACCCCCACTTTCAACTGAATCAAGTGAGGATGAGGGTTCAGAGCCAGATTCGGAGGGGTTCTGCCGCCTCCGCTTGGGGGGCCGAAGAGATGGTGGGGGCAGCTCCTCCTCTTCCGACTCGGAGCCCTGGGTGAACCAGCAGATACGTCAGTGCAGACACTCCCTGGCTGCCTAAACCCCTCAAGTCTGGAAATTAGGAGGCAAAAAAGAAGGATCCAGGGCGAACGGAATCCGCAAATCTCCCTCCAAGGGAGATGACATGGGAAACATAAGAAAAGTTATTTCCCAAACACAGTCCAGGCTCACCCACATCCCTCTCCTGCAAACTCACTGAGGGCGAGTGGGAACGCTTGCGATGGTGCTTCTTGCCCTTTCTGGTGTGCTTTCGGCCCTTGGTGTGGAGGTGCTGGCATTCAGTCTGGTAGAGGCAGAGAGAGGAGTAAAGAAGGCACCTGGGTTAGCCTCAGGAGGACCCTGTATCTTAAAAGCTGACTTGGCGCCACTTCTTTACTGAGGTTGGAGCCTTCAGCCTAACCAGGGTACCTAAGACCCCACCCCACCCCGCCAGCTATCCAGGGAAAGGAAAAGAGGGCGGGGGTGGCAATGTCTCTGTGGAGCTGGCCTCCAGTGTCAGGCACCTGGGACATGCAGAGGACCAGGAGCTCTGCCTCACCTCCAGTACCTGCAGGAACTCCCGGAAGAGCCGGATCCGCTCCGACTCCAGGGTGATCTGCTCAAAGGCTGAGTCGCACACAAAGCGCTCACGGACCTTGAACGGGAGAGCACTGCTGATCAGACCAGCCCCAGCACGGCATGGGTGCCGCCGTGAGCACAGGGCAGGGCTGGGGCGAAGGAAGGAGGGGAGCCGGAGTTGGCCCCAGCTGTTATGACTGGGGTGGGCCCCCAGTGGTGGAGAAGCACCGCTGCCCTCAGGACTGAGGGGGTGGCATGTGGCACCAGGCTGCAGTCCTGACCTCTTCCCACGCAGTGCCCAGCTCCAGAGCAGGCACGGCCTGCCTCAGCATGCTTCGAAAGGCAGCTTCCCTGCGCCGCAGCCTTCGTGCCTCCTCCTTCTCCCGCTCTCTCTCCCGCGCTTCTGCTTTCTCCAGTAGCTGAGGGCAGAAAGCACACATAGGTCACCCGCAAGGGTGGGCGCCCAGGCCCCACGCAGGCATACCTCAGGAAGTGGGAAGTTGGGGTCTGGGCTCCTGCCATCATCCCCTGAACTGGGGTAGTTATACTGGGGCAGTGAGCGAGAAGGAATGAAACAAGACATAGGGATGAGTTTGAGCAGGAGCCCTGGCTACAGCCCCGCCCTGCCCAACCCCTCACACTATTGAAGGTCAGCTTGATGTTGCCTGCGTCCAGCGCAGCAGCCCTCTTGTCAAAGCTTATGACGTGGGCGAAGTCCTCAAAGGCTGTGTTCACCTCCACACAGAAGCCCCGGTCCTGTGGGCACAGCAGTGCATGAAGCAGGGGGCACCACCAGGGCGGGCAGAGGGGTCCAGCTACAGGATGCTCAAGAAGCCCCCCCAAGAGATCCACAGGACTAGGATGCATTCTGAAACCAAGTTGCCCAAGTCCTCATCCCCTACTGATTAAGCCCCCATGCCTACCCTTGCTGAGGTTGTCACAGGGAACTGGGGGGCTGGATCACATGGGGAAAGGATGTGTATGGATGTGTGTGTGCCATGGCTGCAGACTGATGCCCGAGTTTCTCACAATTACTTCCTGGTTCTTTTAGCTTAAAGCTTGGGCCCCTTCTGGGCCCTCCTGCTGCTCAGTAACTCCCTGGCATTCTAGTCAATCTCTGCCAGTCCCACTCTGGCTACACTTATTGAGGGCCTACTAAGTACCAGCTACCAAACTGAGTGCTTCATATACATTTAATCCTGAGGGGGTGAAGTAATCCTTACTTCTCTAAATTTAAGTATAAATCCTAGTCTAATTTTATACAGAAGGGAAACTAAGGTTTAGAGAAACCAGAGCCTTTGCCCAGCCTCACAGCTAGCTAATATGCGCATGGCTGAGCGAGAACTCTACTCCAGGTCTCTCTGACACCAAGCACACACTTGTACACCCCGCACTCACACAGGTCACTTGGTCCTCGGTAGAAACAGAGACCTGAGGCATGTAACTCCCAAACAAGAAAAACCTCTCACATCCTCTGAACGCAGCGGGCCAGGATCTGCGATTCTCATCTAAGCCTCGAAATACCCCAACAAAACCTAGGTTTAGGAAGGTTATCTCATAGGGCCCACGGCAGCACGGTGGGAAGTGGAGCCCCTGGAGTTTGAAGTCTGGCTCTCCAGTCAGCAGGGGGCGCAGGCCCTGCCTCCCTTCCTCTCCATCCACACAGCTCCAACTCGCTCCAGCCTTCCCGCCAACAGCAGACACACTCTGGCTTCTTCCAAGAGGACCACCTCAACCCAAGGGCTCCAGCCCTTCTCAGACCTGTCCCTCTCTCAGGGAACTGAGATTCATTCTCACCTCTTCACTGGCTCCTTCCATTCAAGCACACACTTCACTAACTGGACTTCCTATTCCGCTCTCATCTTCCTCAGGCTTAACAGCCTGCTTCTTTTCCTTTGTTTCAAAAATCTTTAAATGCAGCACAAAGGAAAATGAATAAGCATTTTTTGAACATACATAAGCAAGATATTGCAAATGTTAAAATCTTGCAACCTTGCACATAAACTATCCCCATTTTACAGATGAGGAAACTGAGGCACAGAAGCTCTATATAACCTGCGGAGGCCTCAATCAATCAACAGCCAGAGCTGTCTGACTCTAAAGCCTGTGCTGCGCCCACTCTAGCCTCTTCATGGACACTGCTGTCCCAGTGCTGGTTCACGTCCTCACAGGGCTTCTTCCTGGTCCTTGCTCGTCCGGTCTGCAGACCTCTGCGGCTCACTTCCTCAATGCTCGCTCTCCAAGGTCCGCACCTGTCTCTCTGACCTCTTCTACTGCCTCTCTGGCACGCACACGCTCACCTGAGAATAGTACCGAGTCTTTCAATCTATACTGTCCCTAGCAATCCAATTCCCTACCGCTCTCAGTTCCAGACCCACACTCGGTTGGGTATTTCACAGACATTTCAAATTCGGCAGGTCCTAAGAAAATTCCTTTCCTGTGAGCTCCTGCCCACCCCCTCCCCACAAATCTCCCAGGCCTGGATCTTCTGTCTTCCAGCTGTTCCGAGTTTGGGGCCCTCGGCATGACCCTACGGGATGAGAGGCACCATCACAATCTGCCCGGCTGGTGGACAGCCGCAGGGACTCCTGGCTTGGTGGCCTTCTGTGGGCAGGAGACCAAAAGGGGGAACGGGAACTGCTTACAGAAGCTTCCTTCTCCAGAGGCGTGGAGAAGCGGGAGTCAGTGAGGATAGGCCTCCTAAAATCCTGGCAGTAATACCAGCCAGGCTGTGGCTACAAATTAAGCATCTAATACAATTTAGCTCTCCTGGGAC